GGGGATCTCGGGCGTTTGTCCGCGACACGGAACGCAGACGCATCGCCAACCTTCCCCGTCCACAGCAAGACTGGGGACATCGCAGGTCGAGAGACCCTGGGGTGAAGGTTGAGCTGATGCGCCGCGTACCGAACCGCAAACGGCCACAGAAAATGGGGGGGCAGCCGCATGCATCATGGACGTACGAGCGACATCCATGACCATGCCAATGCGGCGCTCAGCAATCCCATTTTGCTGTGGAGAGTCCGGAAGCGTGAAGGTCTGGTGGATCCCCCGTGCACGACAGTAGTCTCGCAGAAGGCGAGAGGAGAACTCCCCGCCTCTGTCCGAGTGCAGACGCAGAATAGGAAAGTCCGAGCCGAAGCTCCTCCTGAGCTGGAGACGAGCCTCGCGGATCCAGTCGATCAGCACCTCAGTGACAGCACCCTTGCTGCGCAAGGGGAGGACTATGGTGTAACGCGAGTAGTCGTCAACCACCAACAGGAAGTAGCGCTCGTGACCCTGCCCACGGACGGGCGGCGCGCAGGTGGCGAGGGGCCGTGACGAGCGGCGCGCGGGCGGCTGTGGGCCTGAACGGGCGGCGCGTGCGCTTCTAGGAGCCCTGACGGGCGGTGCGTGGGCGGCTAGGGGCCTGAACGGGCGGCGCGCTGGCGGCTAGGGGCCTGAACGGACGGGCGCGCTGGCGGCTAGGGGCCTGAACGGGCGGGCGCGCTGGCGGCTAGGGGCCTAAACGGGCGGGCGCGCTGGCGGCTAGGGGCCTGAACGGGCTGCACGCGAGCGGCTAGGAGCCCTGACGGGCGGCGCGTGGGCGGCTAAGGGCCGGGACGGGCGGCGCGCGGGCGGCTAGGTGCCTGAACGGGCGGGCGCGGGCGGCTAGGTACCGAGACGGGCGGTGCGCGGGCGGCAAAGGACGGCTCGCGCGGGCGTCTAGGGGGCCGCAGGGCAGGATAAAAAGGAGAGAGCAAGGGCCCGGAGCGCGCTCCGGGCAGAAAAAAAGTTTTGAAGGTGGTGGGCCCTAAGCATAGTTCCCGCGGGGGAACCTGCTCGATACCATGTTGAGAATAGAACGAGAATGAATGAACTATGAATGAAGTGAGTACAAATAGGAAACCCTAACTGGGTTGTACCCCCTATGGGATACCCCACTACAGCCTACACAATAGTATAAGCTATATATATGTTCTGACAAAAATTCCCTCCCAAGGTATGCCATCGCCATTCCCCTTTTTTCAAAGGACAGCGACGGCATAGCGATTGCATTGCCGTTCAAAGCCATTGGGGGGAAGGTGGGGATGGAGGTTCCCGATGCGGTTGCGTAATTTCGCTTTTCCGGAACAGAAATTTCTCGAGTGGCATTGCGCCCAAGCCTCGGAGGTGGGTTCTGCCTCCGTTTCGGATGAGGTCGCGATGCCGACGCCATCTTTTTCATTTAAAACTTCGTTTTGCTGGCGAACAGCACCGATCTGCATGAGCAACGTTGGCTGCTTTCCCGAGCCAATTGGGACACGACCGAATTTCAAATTGGGGACCTCAATGCCAACAAAGATACACACCTGGTAGCGCGGGAACCGTGCTTCGCTGGCGTGCCGTACATTTTCGCATGTTGGTTTTCGATGGGTTCAATTTCAGGTTGGATTCTGCATCGCGCTCATACAGCGCGTCCCCCACTAACAAATCAGGGCGCGGCGCATTTGCGCAAATCCCGAAGTCTGATTTTTTCTTAACGAATTTCACATATTTTTTCGATTGTACAGTCGAACAGTTGCTTCTTTAGGTTCGAGTCGCGGGGACAATTTCCTAAAAGTCAAAAGTTACCATCGAGGGTCCAAAGACGAATTTCGACCCTCAACGAGCCGCGAGTACACAAAGTAGGTTACCCGGTGTGGCCTACGTGGCTCTGACGTCGTCCTCGAATTTTTAACTGTAGAATTCGTCAAAATCCACCGATCTCGCGCAACTGCTAAACTTGAGCATGCTTGACCACGTTTGAGAGCCGATTTGAACGCACATTCGAAAACGCAGTCGACTAACATTCTGGTTCCTTCACTTACCAGTGTATATTCGAGCTCTAAGTTGGTTCCATGCGAGAGCTTTTGCGACATTCACGAAGCTGGTAACCAACTTAGGTTCGACCGGTTTTCAGAACTTTGATTCGAAAGCACCGCGCCCTTAAGATGTCGCCTTGTTGCCACATAAAAACTAGCTGGAAGTATGCGACGGCGATCGATCGTGGCTGGCACTGGTGGCGCGATCTCGATTCCCGCGCTGCCAATCGCACGATCGATGTGGAAGTTTGAGCCATCCGATCTCGACAATCTGCGTGTGCACGATCTTCGCGACAGACTAAACTAACACGGGATACATAGAATTCACGAAATGGTGAAGTCACTGTACAATGTGCATACCGATCTTTCACAGGTTCGGTGTTGCAGTTGTGGCGCGTCCTGATGCAAAGCACACCTCGCAGGACCTTTTCCAGCCTGCAACTCCGTCAGGTTTGCCGTCATTGATGCTCAAAACCAAATTAACGGAAAAGCGAAAGTGCTTTTCCAGACGTCTTTTCTTGTTCCCCCCAATCCCAAGGTCATGCTCGCGTTGATGATAGTCATGTGTGTGCGACGGCTCAGATTATTCCACCTCTGACATGCAAGGATATTATCTCTCGAGAACTCCGACTCGACGCTAGGAGTATCGTCCTTCGATACTGCCTGCTTCCTGGATTTTTTAGGCAGCCCCACTTGTTTCTTCTCTTGGCGTGCTTATCACGGTACCTGTTGTATAATCTTAGGGTTCGGGTATTGTGGCTTTACAAGTGTGGTTGCGCTCGACATGCGACAATCTGTTAACCTCCGTTGCCATATCCCTCACCATACCCTTCTTCATCCATTAACTCGTTCTGACACCGCTTTTTGCCTTGTTAAGTTGTTTTATCGCGATCAACAAAGAATCAGTTGTCGTTTATATTTTAAAACGAAAGAGCCACAAACGATGGCGCATCGAGCTTCCTCCGCTTCTTCCGGCGCGGGAGAGCCGCGAGTCTGGGCTCCCAGGCGAAGCCAGCGATTAGATCAACGGCCAGGATTCGCATCAGCCGCTGCTGCTGCCCCATCTGCCGCTGGTCGTAGCTCCAATGTTCGTCCAGTTAGGCCGAGCGGGTCTCCCGCCGCAGCTCCCGCTGAGGGACACAGCGTTACGAGCCGCACCCCGGCGCATTACCGCCGTTCGTTAGCAGAGATCGCGGCGGCGTCGTCCTGCGGCAGCCGGCCCGCGCCCGGCGGAATGACAGCGGTAGTGGGCGAAGCGAGTCTCACGGCGCAAGTCGCGGACAACCTCACTCTGCCGCCTCACGGCGTCGCGTCCGCAGCTTCCTCCTTAAACGGTGGAGATGGCGGCGGAAGCGCGGCTGGCGCAGCCAGGGAAGCGGAGGGCGGCGGAGACGGGGGGGTGTGGGGGGAGCAGCATCATACGGGGGTGGGGACCGCGGCTGTTGATTGGCCGGCTATCGCGAGCGCGTCGCACGAATTCGTAGATGGCGCGGCAGCGTCGGAGTCGTCTGAGGTGCCAGTGGCGAGAGACATGGAGTCCGGGAAAGAGGGGGGCGACCCCCATTGGGTGGACGGTCACAGACACCACCAGCAGCAACAGCACAACCAGCAACAGCAGCAGCAGCAGCACATGATGGAACAGCAGCAGCAACATCATCAGCAGCAGGAGCAGCAGGCGGCGCCAGCGCCGCCAACAACGGCGATTACATTGCAACACATGCAGCAGCACGAGCAGCAGCAGCAGCAGTTTCTGCAGCACCAGCAATCGGTTTTAGCGCAGCCGCCGCTACTACCGCCGTTGCAGCCGCAGCCGCAGCAGCCGCAGCTGGTGCAGGCGCATCAATTGCAGCAGCGGGCGCCACAGCAGCAGCAGCAGCAGCAGCAACAAGTTTCTTTAGGCGCCCGCCAATCCAACGCAGACGATTACAATCACAATCACCACCAGCATAATCCATCATTCTCATCATCACCACCAGCAGCAGTTGCCGTTGCAGGCGCAACAGGCGCCGCGGCACCCAGTCGCGATGGCGGACGATCAAGCCCTCTGTCGACAGCCACGAGGAGAGCTTTGCGCAGGATCGCCGCCGCCCGTCGCGCGGCGCGCAGGTCTCGCAGTCCAACTCCGTCGTTGACGGGCGGCGCGGCGGGGGCTGGGGCGCGGGGGGCCGCGGAGTCGAGTTCCGCGGGCAAGTGCAGACGCGCTCGACGCGCAGTGGCCGCGGACGCGGAAAGCGCGGGCGGACAGGGCGGAGTTGCGCTCAGCGGCGTCGGCGCGGTGGGGGAAGTCGGCGCAGGGCCTGGCGGAGCGGGAGTATGGGGAGCCGCGAGGGGGACGGCAGTTCGCGCGGGGTACTGGGCGGGGGCGCCGGGTGAGGGCGTAGGGGTAGCGGGAGAGCGGGGCGCGGGGGCGTTTTCCGCCGTTGGCATCCCCGCGCCCTGCTAGCGTCCGTCCAGAGCCAGGGGTCTTCTCTAGGCAGCGGGCATGACGCGGGGGGAGGTGCGGGCGCGGGCGCGCACAAGAGGCAGCGGGGGAGGCGATCCGCGCATGCGCCCGCGATGGCGGAGGTGCACATGGCGGCGGATCCGGCGGGCGATTCGGGGATTCGGACGAGGTGTCGATTGGCAGCATGAACGCGTGTACAGCGGCGCCAGAAGCGGGGGAGGCGGAGGCGCTAGAAGCGGGGGGGCAGCGCGGGGGGAGCAGTGGAGGGGAAGAGAAGGCGCGGGTGGAGTTGGGGGGAGGGATATGAAGAGAGATGGGGGGCGCTGCTGCCTCAGGGCGGGGCGAGGGGGGCGCGGAGGGGGGAGTGGGCGGGGGGAGGCGAGGGGAGGGGGGAGCAGGCAGGCGCAGGGGTCGCAGACAGGGGGAAGGGGGCAGGAGGATCGTGAGATAGACGCTTTGGGACGCTGCATGTAAGCCAGGAATCGAGGGTGTATTGTTGGGCGTCGCATCGCATGTCCTGTTTTTGGACCACCTCACTCGCTCCCTCCTCACTCCTTCCCCCACCTCACTCACCCCCTTCTACCTTCACCGTCCTCCCCGTCGCACTCTCTCCCACATCCCTCCCTCCCTCCCCACCTTTCTCCATTCCTCCGCACTCCATCCCCTCCTTTCCCCGTGCCATCCTGTCTGTCTCTGTCTCTGTCTTTCGAAAGTCCCACGGATCTGTCTCTCTCTCTCTCTTTCTGTCTCTCTACTCTCTTCTTTCTGTGTGAGTGCCTGCGTGTGCTCGTGTGCTCAGGACCAAGATCCTGCGGCACCAGGCAAGCCAGCTGGGATTGCACGTGGCGCCAGATGGCTTCGTGCGAGTGGCCGATCTCTCTGCTGCTGCCCCTCAACACCAACGCCCACCGCCCCCTCGCCTTCCCACACGCTGGAGGACGTGCGCCCTGGTACGGGGACTGATTGATTGACTGGGACTGATTGACTAATTGAAACGTCTAAAGAATTCACGTCTTTCACTTGACGTGCGCCTGGTACGAGGACTGATCAATGATTTGCTGCTGTGATGGCAATTATTGTTCATGTGAGTTTCCCGCCTGACTTTTATGATGTTGTCAACTCCCTGCTTCGTCCCCCAGGCTGTGGCGCGGGACAACAAGCAGCGCTTCACTCTGAGGGAAGGGCCGGGTGGGGAGGTGTATGTGCGGTGCGAACCAAGGCCACTCGCGTGCACGTGGACGAGGAATGCAGCTGCTGCGAAGAATCACCGACCCCGCTGCCTGCCAGGTAAGCTGTGCGTGTATGAAAGTCACATTTGCTGCACGTAGACGTGGAGCAGCTGCTGCGAAGAATCACCGACCCCGCCTCCCTTCCAGGTATTATACGGTCTGGGTTGACTCACTATCCACATTCGTGCACGTTGACGAGGAGCAGCTCTGCGACGGATCACCGACCCTGCTGCCCTGCCAGGTAAGCCGGTGTGCATGGCACACACGAACGCCACCCTGCTGCACCTGGAATGACGCAACACTTTTCCCTCTCTCCTCCCCGTGGTTCATCAGAGTGTGTGCTGTGGCATGCGTGGCACGTACGAGCGTCACAAGTGCCACCTGTCTTTGCTTCCCCCCCCTCCTCCCTCTCCCCCACCTCCCTCCCTGCGCCCACCAGAGCGTGTGCATGGCACGTACGAGCTGGCACCTGCCAGCCATGCCTCGTTGGAATGGTGCAACCGTTGAATAATAATAGTGTTTTGAGACGTCTCAAAACTCGTTGGAATGGTGCACCCATATGTCCCCCCGATTCCACCCACCCACCCCCTCTTCCCACCCCTCCCTGCGCCCCACTAGACTGTGGTACACGGCACGTATGAGCGCCACCTGCCGTCCATACTGGCGTCGGGGTTGAGTCGCATGAACCGGCAGCACGTGCACCTCACCAAGGGGGTGCCCTCGCAGCACCACTCCGTTGTCAGCGGTACGCAGGCTGCGCTCGTCCCCACCTCCTAAGACACTTGAGAGGTTTTCACATGTCTCGCTCTTGATTACTTGTTTTCTTGTTTCTCTGGTATCATCAGCATCCTCAGCACCTCTCAGCGCCCACCTCACTTGTTAGGCCAGGTTTCAGCACCTCACCTGCCATCTTTCTCCTCTCCCTGCTTCGTCCCTCACACCCCACATCCCTCACACCCCACATCCCTCACCCTTTTGCTGCAGGCTTCCGTTCAAACGCAGAGGTTGCTGGTGGTGGTGGACGTCGCTCGCGCCATGGCAGGTGGGTTGCACGTGGCATATGGCATGAGCTCCTCGTGTGTGTATGTGTGTGTGTGTGTGTGTGTGTGGTGTGTGTGTGTGTGTGTGTGTGTGTGTGTGTGTGTGTGTGGTGTGTGTGTGTTTTTTCACCGCGCCTCCACTTTACTTCCTTCCTCATCCCTGCCACTACCGTTGCCAAACCCTTCCCCCACCTCTATCCCAGACGGCATGCCATTCTTCGAGTCAGACAATGGGGTCATCCTCACGTCTGGCTTTCCACGGCTACATCCCTCCAACCTACTTCGCCTCCATCCTCAAGTGGCCCTCGCTCCTCCCCCACCCCCTCTCCCCTCCTCCTCCCCCACCCCCCCCATCCTCCTCTACCCGCCCTTGCTCCTGTCCCCCCCGCTGCTTCCGCTGCTGTCTGTGCGGGGGAAGCAGCAGGGCCGTGTTTAGACCCGAATATGGGGGGGTTTGCTGTATGTGGACCGAATGTTTCAGAGGAAGGGTTTACCCCCGTGCCTCCTGCTGCGTCGGCGGCTGTGTGTGTGGGGGAGGCGAGTGTGAGGAGCGATGGGGGGGGGCATGGGGGATGAGGGGGTGGGTGGGACGGCGGAGTCTGGGAGAGGGGAGGTGGGCGGATCGAACGAGGACGAGGAGATGGTTGATTGATGGAGGGAGGAGGTGAGAAGATGGTGGGATGATGGAGGGAGGAGGTGAGAAGATTGTGGGATGATGGAGGGAGGAGGTGAGAAGATGGTGGGATGATGGAGGGAGGAGGTGAGAAGATGGTGGTATGATGGAGGGAGGAGGTGAGAAGATTGTGGGATGATGGAGGGAGGAGATGAGGTTATGGTGTGGTGGAAGAGAAAGATAAGGTGATGGTGGGATGATATGATGATGATGGTGGTGATGAGGAGGGAAGGAGGTGGGGCACACTGGGACTAAAGAGTGGTGGATATATGGTAGGACTAACAGGAGGGGAGGAGATGGGAAGGGAAGGGCTGACCGGAGCGATGACAACATCTAGCTCAGAGCTCATTTCTGCTAACCTCACTGGAGCTCTGTTTATGGCGAAGTTCAATATAGAGAAGATGCACACTGCGTGAACTTGTACCATAATGACGATTTCGTTTTTATATGTATTCAGTGCGCTGCGTTATCATACGGCACATAAGGAATCTGGAGGCCTGTGTGAATCTGGAGTAATCTCACTGTTGGTACTGAATAGCAGAATACAGTGTACCAATTGGATAAGGGCCAACTCATTACTACAACATGGAAGGAGAGGCCAAGAAGATTAATATGCCTTTATACAAGCAAAGCATTAACGTTCTGTACCACATCAGACTTTCGAGAAGGCGATAATATAATACAAGCAAAAGACGCATGCACGACTGTACAGTAGACCTCAGAAGATCCATGCAACACACACAACAGATGCCTGGGACGCCTTGAAATTGCCTTGGAATCGCCTTGGGTTGCCTTGGGATCTCCTTGGGATCACCTCGGGATCGCCTTGGGACGCCTGGGACGCCTGGGATCGCCTTGATGCTCCCTTGCCTTGTCGTGACACGCGTCCTTGTCATCAGCACCATTCTCCCAGGGCCCAGACCTCTTTATTTCCATAGTCACCTCTGTCATCTTACTTAAAGTATAATATCCCCTTGAACAGGGCACCCCTCCTGCTCCACTCTCCACCCACCTCTTCTGCTGCTCCCTGCTGCACTCTCCTGCTGTCCGGCCATCTCCCATGCTCTTCGCATGTCTCCTACACCCTCTCTCAATTCGAGTCATCCCGACCCTCTCCCATCCCCCCCTGCCCCACCCTCCTCATCCTCTTCTCCCTCCCCAACCTCCTCTCTCTCCTCAGAGCACTCAAAAGCCCCCAGAAAATCTTCGCTGCACCCACCATCCCTCTCCCTGTCCCTTCGCCTTTTCTGCCCAACGCCCTGCCTCTGCCTGCTGCCACTACCCCCGTGGCTTAGCAAGGTCTCGGAATCAGGTGATTCTGGGGTTTCGAAACGAGGGGATATGGGAGTTTTAGAAACGCCCTTGCTCGCTGCAACCCTCTGCGACTCCCCACCGCCCTGGCTTTGCTTGGTAATGCTGCCAGCGTGGCTTACGTTGCGCAGCAGAGGGAGTGGGGGCAGGCACAGGTGCGGGCCGCCGAACCTGCTTGCCGAACCTGGGTAGCTGGGGCTGCATGGAGTTGTCTTATCCTGATGCTCAGGCTTCCCCTGTTGCTGGTGCTGGTGCTGGTGCTGCTGCTGCTGCTGCAGCTGCTGCCGGTGCTGGTAAAAGTCCAAGGGTGGTTGCACTCGTAGCCTTTGCTGCTGCAGCTGCTGCTGCTGCTGCCTCTTGTGCTGCTGCAGCGGTACTTCCTGCTTCACTCCCTCCAACCGTACCTGCTCACTCTTCACCACTCTGCGTGCTCCTTTCTTCTCACCACAATCCACCTTAACCTCCCGGCAAAGATCCTTCTGCACCGCTCTGCACCCCAAGCACAGGAAGCGCATGGGAGCAGGCGCAGCATCCTCGATCCCAGCGCACCGCGTGTGCTGCCACACGCCGCCACTCGTCGCACGCGATCATGCGCTCGCCGTCGTCGTCCCGCGCGCCGCACACGCACCGCACGGCCCACGTGTCGTTGCCGCCCTCGTAGCGCCACTCGCTGTGCGCATCAAGGCTGGATATGGCGAGCAGCAGAGAGGCGCCCGAGTCGAGCGAGCCAAAGAGCACATCGTCATCATCAAGATCCGCCAGGTCTTCCGGCAAAGCAGTGACCTGCAGATAAGGGAGGAGAGGGAACAGCGAGATAGGTGAGAGAGCTGCAGAGGAGGGCAATGCAATGCTAAGCACAATATGTGTAATGCCGATCGGATAAGCAAGGAGCAGAGCAGCGCATCAGGCCTGCTCCGGTGCCGTACCTGCATGTGCCGAGCCACAGGGTAGGTCTGGGCGAGGCTCGGCAGGCAGCAGCCTTGAGGTCCGAAACGGTTGCTTCGGGCGGCAGGGTTATGAGCTCGGGCGGAGGTATGGACCAGTCACGAGCGGTGTCTGCATCCCGTGCATCAATGCTGGTGGGCGGGCGAGAAGGGGGAAGGAGAAAGGGAGGGAGATGAGCGGCAAAACAGGACACTGGAATTGAGTTCAGCATTCACTGCCATTGGGTTTGAAGGGACGTGTATCAACATTGCAGACGGTAAAACCTCCACAAAACAAAGTACCACACGAAAACACAAAAAACCACCTGCGCCAGATAAGACCTGCAGAGCAAACTACCTGCAGAGCACTCGAATCGTCCCATCCTCCTCTTCACTCGTTGCCTCTGTAGCGACGCCATCCCTCCCCTCTCCCCCCTCTCCACCTGCTGCCCGCCACCGCCGCTCGTGCTGCTTGCTCCCTGGTGAGCTCGCCCTTGTAATCCTTAAAGAATTGCTTTGTATCGAGTATGGTTTGCACGGCCTCAGAGAAAGCAGCCAGGGAGAATTCTGAAGAGGTTATATCTGCCTTAGTCTCCCGCTGCTCCTCCTGCTCTTGCTCGTGCTGCTGCTGCTGCTGCTGCTGCTGCTTCTGCTGCTGGCGGTGCTGCTGACGCTGCTGCTGGTGCATCCTCTGATGCGGGTGGCAGTGGCCGTGAGTGGATGTGACAGTAAAGAGCAGGTGCTTGTACAGGAACTCCACGTCGCGAGTCACATCAGCCCTGGTGAAGGGCGCAGCAGTCAGCACAGCAGGAGTCACTGCCGCCGCCACTGCCCCTGCTGCCCCTGCTGCCACCAAGGCTGCTGCTGCTGCTCCAGCCCTTGCCCCTGCCTCTGCTGCTGTCCCTGCAACCATGTCGTCGCTATGACGGTTGCTGCCCAAGCAAGAGCTCCTAAAAGCAGGCTCAAAAGACCGCCGCTGATCCCCTCCCAAGTCTACAGCTCCGTTTAGAGTAAGAGGCGATACTGGCCCCATCGGCACCTCTCCCTGCTGCCCCTCCAACCCTCCTCTCCCCTCCTCCCCAACCACCCCCTCCCTCCCCTCTCCACCCCCTCCCCCACCCCTCTCCCCACCCTCCCGCTGCAGCGGCTCTAAGCTAAACTCCAGCACTTTACTAAGCGGATTAATCGCTCTCCGCACCACCACATCCCCGACCAACCGATTCCCCAGCGACTTCAGCACAAAATCCAACAACCCTGTGTCGCCGATCCTCTGCCGAGCCGCCTCCCGAACCTCGTGCCGAGGCAGCCAGGCGCCGGGGCGGAGGGAGAGCACGTCCACGATGACCTGCTGGGCCAGGTGGAGGCGCTTGGAGGACCAGCGGCAGGAGGGCGAGTCGGCGGGCAGCGGGCTGATTATGATTGGCTCGTTGCAGAGAAGGCGCCTGGAATAGTCCCCTGCTGCTGCTGCTGCTGCCGCTGCCGTCGCTGCTGTTACCGCTGCTGTTGCTGGTGGTGGTGCTGCTGGTGTTGTTGGTGTTGTTGGTGTTGCTCTTGATGCTGATCCTGCCAAAGCGCTGCTGATGGGGCTGTCGAGGAAGAGGAGGGTTCGCTTGCTCCTGGGAGTGATGGTACTGGGAGTGACTGTACCGGGCGTGATTGTAGAGGGAGTGGGAACGTTGGGAGATGGAGGGACGTCCATTTGTTGGTAGCTGATAGGCGGAACGGGGGACGGCAGGGCCTGCTGCTGCTGCTGATGCAGCAGGCGCTGCTGCTGCTGACGTGGCGACAGCTCGTCGGACAAGCAGGAAGCGGAGGTAGGGCTGGGCTCGCCCGACAGCTGGCGCGCCGCCATTGGCTGCAGCGGCGGGAAGAGCGGGGGGAGGGTGAGGGGCGGCGGAGGGGCGAGGAGGTGACGAGCAGAGAAGGAGAGGAGGGGGGAACGGGAGGAGGCAAGAGAAGGGACAGCAGCTAGCGGCGCTGCTGCTGCAGCAGCAGGAGTAGAGGGAGCAGTGGGAGGAGTAGGGGTAGTGAGAGTTAAGGGGAGCGGGAGAGAGGAGGGGTGGAGGAGGTGGGGGAAGTGGTGGTGCTGGTGGTGCAGCGGGAGGGGGAGGGAGGAGCGCAGGGCGAGGAGGGATGAGAAGAGGTGCTGCAGGGTGAGGTTGGGTGGGGCAGCATGCGGGCTGTGCGGGCCATGTGAAAAATGAGGGGCATGTGGTAGGTGGTGATGGTCATGGTGAGTCTCATGTGAAGCATCCAAGACGTGTGGGCACAGACTGGTCCTGCGGTTTTCACCCTCAGACTGGTCCTCAGACAGGCACTTGTTCCCAACCACATGCGACTGATACTTGGCAACCACTGCTGCTACGCGGGAGGCAATCCCCGTGTTGATGCCCCGCAGCTGCTGCAGCAGCGGCAGCAGGCGTGTGCCGGCCACACGCGCTACAGCCTGGCTGTAGCGGTGCTGCGTGATGCCAAAGGCGCCGTGAGCAAAGGAGTAGCCCCAGCGGGCGAACCAGGAGTGCGAGAAGGCGAGAGTGTGGAGGAGGCGATAGTCTGAGGAGAAGGAGAGCTTGTGCGATAGGTCCTCTACGCTCACCTCCCTGTGAGAAACAGGGGAAAACAGGAGATGAGAGTGAGGAAAGATGTGCGTGTCAGTTGACTGACATTACCAAGTAATGTTGCTCGTTGATGTTAAAGAGGGGCACTCAAGAGTGCTCTGACGGGGAGCATGCCGAGGTCACTTTAGAGTCGACTCCAAACACATGCATGCATACATCCTACAAGATCTCAAACATGTCTTACCTGGCGCGACTACCAAAAACACACGCCATACATCCTACAAGATCTCAAACATGTCTTACCTGGCGCGACTACCAAAAACACACGCCATACATCCTACAAGATCTCAAACATGTCTTACCTGGCGCGACTACCAAAAACACACGCCATACATCCTACAAGATCTCAAACATGTCTTACCTGGCGCGCAGCATGGTGCAGATGTTGTCCCACAGCTGCATCAGCTGCCGCCCGGACAGCACGTGCGAGCCTGCCGCCCGGCCATTGAGCGTCACGAGGTGGCCGAAGCCGTTGGTATGGATAACCCCGTGCAGGAGGTGCGTGGGGGCGGCGAGCGACTGAGAGCGGCAAGCAGCAGCCGTGATGCTCGTGTGGTGGTGCTGGTTGTGGTGGGACGAGGGGTGGTGGTTGCTGGTGCTGGTGGTGCTGCGCGTGCCGCGTGGACTCATGCTACTGGCTGTGGTTGCAAGCACCTGTGACTGAAGGGACGGGAGATGAGCCAGAGGGGAGCAACGGGAGAAGGGGAGAGGAATTCGAGAGATGGGCAGCAAATGGTTGCGGGTTCTTCCAAAGCGGCTGGAGCAGCGGGTAGAGTAAACAAGGGGAGAGTGAGTGGTTACCTCGGCGCGTGGGTGCGAGTGCGGGTTCTTGGCAGGAATGATGAAATGGTACTTGTGCGCAGCGATGGGGTGGTGGCACCAACCTGCAAGTTGAAAACGCAGGGAGGGGGGGGAGGGGAAGGGGGGAGGGAGAGAGTGGGTGCGAGTGCGGGTTCTTGGCAGGAATGATGAAATGGTACTTGTGCGCAGCAATGGGGTGGTGACACCAACCTGCAAGTGGCGCAAGCATTGTGGGGGGAGGAGGAATGGGGGGGGAGAGTGAGAGCATTTTACAGGGAGGTGGCGGGTGATAAGAGAAGGGCATGTGGCGGAAGGCTGGCAATGCTGGACAGTTAACACAGCTGGACAGTTAACGCATGACTCAAGCACAACTCCTGTTCCCTTCCCCTCAACACCCTTGAGCTGAGCCTCTAACTTCCGCCAACCCAGTTTCCCCCATCCCCCCATCCCCCCTTTAACACCTTCCCCACAGCATCTCCCGCCCCCCGTCCCCGCTCTCCCTGCCGTTTCACCCAAGCGCGGATTCTTACCCGAGCTGCGGCAGTAGTCGCAGTGCGGATTGGCGGACCCTTCAGTCGCTTCCGCCACCAGCAGCAGCGGCAGCAGCACCTGCTGCGCCGGATGCGCCGCCCCCTGAAGCTGCGCCTGCTGCTGCGCCGCCCCCAGAAGCGCTGAATGCTCCGCGGGAGCCACAGTGGCGCACAGCGCGCCCGCCGCGGAGTTCCCCGCGCTGGGTTCTGGCGCGGAGCTAACATCCCCGCGGGCTTGAGCGCGCGGGGTGGCGGGAGGCGGCGGGCTGCGCGCGGAGGGGGAAAGCGGATCCGCGGAAACCGCCGAAGGAGCTGGGTGCGAAAGCGCCTCGAAAGGCGTAAACGGAGGCTGAGAATACGCTTCGGCGCGAGTGACGGTGAGAAGAAGGCTCCACGTCGGATGGCCCTCGATACTGTCACACGCGCGCCAAGTAGGGAAAAGGGCGAAAGGGGAAGGGAGAAGGGGAGGGGAGAGAGTGGGAAAGACATTTTTACATCAGGACGAGAAGCGGAAGGCGAAGTGGAAGGCGGAGCGAAACGCGAGGCGGGCTCTAGGGAGGAAAACGGAGACAGAACGTTTTAGACGTAGCGGCACAAAAAAAAAAAAAAAAAAAAAAAAAAAAAAAAGCAGCGAAATAGCTCCTGTTCGTACAAGGCTGCGAGGCCGCTACCAAAACAACATGTAAGTTCGTACCCCTCGGGTTCGCGTTGCATGACGTCAGCAGCGAGCGCCGTCACATTGTCCCGAAACGCGCCGCGGTATTCCGCCAGGTAGCCCGGCTCGCCGAATCTTAGAGCCGCGTAGGTCGCGCGCGGTACAGCGGCGCAGTCAGCGGACGCCGCCGCCCCTCGGATTGCGGCGCCGCGAGTGGCCGCCATGTCCGCCCTTCTAGATGCACCGCGAGTGGCCGCGTGAGACGCCGACGACGCAGACGATCGCCGCGGCTTCGTCAAGCAGCGTCGCGACGGCGGCGGCGGCAGTGGCGGCGCCGGGTCGTCGCAGCCAGTAGTACGGCCATACAAATTTCCGGCATTGTCCGGCGCCGCCTCACGCCGCGGCGCCAACTGTGGCGGCTGCTGCTGGCCGCCGGCGAAATCCAGTCCCGAGCTCCAGTCGCCGCCAGCAGCATTCGACGAAGCTTCCTCGGGATAAGTATGGTACACTTCACCAGGCTCCATCGTCATCGCGCCGCGATGCTCCGATATAAGCTCAACCGTGAGGGACTCCGTCTCCGTCAAATCTCTCGTTTTAGGCGCCGGCGTCGCGTGCTCCCCGCTGCTCCGCTCGACGCGCATCGCGGACGCTAGCCCGCACCTCGGCGCGCAAATTGGCTGGCAGCTCGGCGCGCAGCTCGGCGCGTAGCTAGGCGCGAAGCTAGGCGCGTGGCTCAGCGCGACATGACTCGGCGCGCAGGACACCTGGTGACGAGGGTAGAAATCACCAGCCTGGCCTTTGAACCGTTTCAGATCGGGCTCGATGAAGGCACCGGCGTCTCTGGTGCTTTGCCACGTGGCGGAACACGCGAGCTGCGGTATGTGGAGCAGTGCTGGCTGGGGGGTCAGCTGGGGCAGGACCAGCAGGCGGGACGACGACGATGGCGACGATGGCGACGATGGCGGCGACGGCGGCGACAACTGCGGGTCACACCTGTCAGCAGCAGACGTTGGAATGTACCCGTTACAGCCCTCGTCAACTTCGCCGTCGCGTGTATCCACCTCGCCCTCACTCTTCGCCCTCGACGCAGGCGGCGCAACCGCCGCAGCCCCAACAGCAGCCTCATCGTTAAACGCCGCGACGTCCATCTGAAACTCAATCGTCTCCTGAATGCTTTCGAGCGAGCTGCTCTCCGGGCCTAGTAGGTCCTCAATTTTCACGTTGCACGACTGAATCAGAATCCGACTGTGATCCTCCTTCAGAGTCCGTCCAGTTGACGCAAACTCCTCCCGCTGCCGCTTGTTTCCGCGATGAGGGCTCCTCGTGAACGTTTGGGATAGAGGAGGCGGTTCAGCCGAGTCGATAATAGTGTCCTTGTTAGCACGAGGCCCGTTGAGAGATCCCATAAAATCGGATTCGCACTGGAGAAGCAGCGACGCCATTTCCACGACCTCCTCGTCGGAAATATGGTCTTCCGTGCTGGAGGTTCCGCATTCGGCGGGCTGCCATAAATCTAGCTGCTGCACTGCACACGGCGCCACCGCTGCTGTGTGCTGCGAGCCAGACGACATCCAAAGCACCATTTTCGTAAGTGGGAACGGGTTGTTTATGAGTTGAGGGCTTCGCTGGTGAAAAAACTGCTCAAATTCTGCTGTTCGCTGGTTTTTTTTCCTTCTCTCGAGTAGATTCCGTCCGTAATTCGGGTAGTTTAGCTTCCAGGCTGTGGCTCACAGACCATTCCCGATAATGCGTCGAGAAATGACGAAACTGAACGGCAAACTGAAGCTGGACGACTGAGGACGGAGGAGCGAGGGACGTGTTTTGGGAGTAGGTGCGGTAGGGAGGCTACCAGCTACCAGGATCCATCAAGCAAGCATCGACAATGTCGGAGAAGCAAACACCATCGAATTGATATGGAGAGAGAATCGGGTTGAACAAGCAGGCCGGCGTTCATGTGTGTGCTCTGGGCGAGTAAGGAAGGGAAGCTGGGGCCAAGGCGTCGAGAGTTACGGGGGGGGGCGGGGGGCAGGTTTGTCATTTGGAAGGAGCGTGGTGGTCAGGCCAGGCAAAATGCTGATCCGACATTTTGCGATTGCGTGACTGAGGAGACGCAAAACCGAGGCTGGGGGTCGGACGGTGGAGAGGGGAGGGGAGGAGAGAAAGTGGCATGCGAAGTGTGGCTGCCGGGAAACCCAGGCCGCGGAGCGGAATTGGCTCGTGGCGTTCAAACCGATATGGATTGGCGGGGGTTAGGAGGGGGAACCGAGCCGAAACACCACAGGGAAGGGGAGGAGAGCCCTCATTGCGCTAGCACTGCAGCAAAGCAGAGTGCCGCACGAGGTTGGGGCAGAGCCAGAAGCGGGATGAGCTTCCGAAGCAGGCTGCTTGGCTCATTGGACACTCCGTCGGATTCTGTTACTGAGTCGATTGACGACAGGTCAGACCGCCCCCACGACCACGTGGAAAGTCCCTACTGGTGTACAGCACCTGCAAGAATTCCGAGAATGGCAGTCAGCCAGCAACTAAACCGAGTTGTCCGTCGCGTGCCTCACAACGATATTTTCACATGCGCACCCTTGCGGCATGCCCCGCTGCTGCGGAACTTTCAAGTGTATGGAACTGTTGCGCGCAAGCTCACAGATTTCCTTGCGCTGCTGGCCAGTGAGGTTGCTCCCCTCCCATAGACCTCGGGGAGTGCACTCAGGACAGCAACGCAAATCTGCCTTTTCGGAAACGCAAATGCCAGCGGTGGTCGGTTACAGCAACCACAGCCACATCTGCCTGGAAGCATCATTGTCGCATGTGGAGCAGAGTGCCTGCCATGGCATGGCAGGAACTGGCTGAAAAGGCCTCCAAGAAATTTGGCACTTGAAAGGAGACTAAACTTACACTTATTTTTTTTCCAGCAGCCCGAACTGGCATTACACAAGCTGGACAGTGTGATAAGTAAAAACTGTGATCCGCAAAGCAAAAAATACTGCCAGCTCAAGCAGACTACAGCGCCACTGAAGGAAAAATTGAGATTCAGTTTGCCAAGGGTGCCCTAGCTCCGTAGTCCCTGAGGGGTTCCAAGTTCAAACACAGGAAGGAAGTTTTCATGCGGAAACGGCTCAGCTCAGCATGCAGGGCGTAAGTCGTGACATAGCTTGGAATTACAAAACCGGTGCAATGATTGATGAATGGTGTTTCCTCGTGTGTGTTCGTTAAAAAAATCGTTGCAGATCTCTGGCTGAGGAGGGGTGTACTACACTCGATTGATACGCTTTTAGCCGAAGACAATGGTACTGTATATAAAAACCTTGCAGTAGATTACACATTAACTAAGCACTTGCAATATGAGCAACTCGATTGAGAATCTTCAGTTTGTTTCCTGTCATTGTCTATGAATATTACTTGTTGCAATTTAAGAGTAGCTATTGTATTCAGTATCATACACTTCGACCTTCTTGGGGTTGTAAACACTAACAATATCAACTTAGACATTGGCACATGCTAATAGCAAAGTAGATGGTGTAGCCTAGGCTCTCGTTCTCCAAGGCCTGAGGAAACTGATCTGAATACCCCAGCGCAATTCGGGCGACGAGCCCACTTTGCCAGGGCTGACGGAGTGGCTCGACGGGCCCGGCGGCCCGGCCACGTCCAAACTGGCTAACCTCCAAAAACATAGGAGGCATCGAACCACGGTGGCAGCCGCAACGGCGCACAGCAAGGGTCGACGGGCCGAACCAACAGGCAAGCAGGTTGGGGGAATCTCATCCACTGGCAAGGGTAGGAAGGAATACAAGAAAGCGCGGGATTCTCACGGGCAGGTGTCAGCAGCTCCCCCACCTTCGGAAATCCGAATTTCTAGAATCCCAAGCCAGACCAAGACTCGGGTGTCCTGGAACCACAAACCAACCCCTGCCCCGCGCAATCTGCTTGTACGCGTTATCTCTTCAACCGTTACACGACGAGAAGCCTCGTCTGGTAACATGCGCAACACAAACCCCCGTCCCCCAGCCCACCCCAACCCCTCGCATCTCATCCTCCTCTGCTCCACCAAAACCCCCTCAATCCATGTTCTCCTTTAGTAGCCTTCTCCCCTATCCTCAACCATTTCCTTCTGCTTTTTCTCAGCTTTTCCCTGCCCGGAAGCGGGTCCTAGTTACTAAGCCATGGCGAAGTCCGCATGGGGATCAAAATCATGGGCAGACGATGTCGAGGAGGGGGACAAAGAGCTTCCTCCTCCCGCTTTCCCGGAGCTCGCGCAGGCAGCATCTAAGCCGTCCGATGAGGCCTTTCCGACGCTAGGCCAGGCGGCAGCCAAGCCCCAGAAAAAGAAGAAGGAAAAAGTAACGCTCTCTCTTTCAGAGTTCACGACAGGCGCGTATGTCGGTCCCGGAGCGCGATCCAGGACTACTATAGTGGAGGACGTTAAAGGGCTTACGTTCCAGGAAAAGATGGCGCTCCCGACGGGTCCTAGGGAGCGCAGCGAAGACGAGGAAAGCGGCGGATTAGGCGGCGGATTTCGCGGTTACGGTGGTTTCCGGGGGGGCGACAGGGGAGGCGGTCGCGAAGGTCGCGATGGCCGTCGCGAGGATCGCGAACGACCGCCGAGGGAGGACGACGGGCCGTCTCGGGCAGATGAAGTGGACAACTGGGCAACGACGAAAAAGTTCGTGCCGTCTGGTGATGGCGGCAGGTCTCGCGGCGGCCGGTATGAGGACGACGGCGGCCGTCCAGGACGTGACGGTCCGTCAAGGGCTGACGAAGTTGACAACTGGGGCGCGACGAAGAAATTTCAGCCGTCCCAGTCCATGGACGGCCGCGGGGATCGCGGGGACCGCATGGGCGGCCCGTCACGTGCCGACGAAACGGACAACTGGGGCGCGGCGAAGAAGTACGTCCCTTCTGCGTCCGTCGGCGGCGGCGGCAGCCGCGGAGGGTTCGGCGGGCGCGGAGCTGGCGGAGGATTCGACGATCGCGAGGGCGCACGTGCGGATGAGGTGGACAACTGGGGCGCGGCGAAGAAATTCGTGCCGTCCGCTAGCCGGGACGGCAGGCGGGACGGACCCAGGGATGGTCTGCGGGAAGGACTCGAGGCGGATCGCTGGGGGAAGGAGCCCCGCGAAGAGCGCCCGTCGGAGCGGCCGCGCCTGAATCTTCAGCCGCGCAAGCCTGTCGCGGAGGGTGAGGGCGGAAGCGCGGGGAGCGCAGAGGATGCGAACAAGCCCAAGAAGCCGAGTCCGTTCGGGGAAGCGCGCCCGCGCGAGCAGGTGCTGGCGGAGAAGGGCATCCCCGTTGCGCCCGACTCCCCTTCCGCCAGCGGCGCAGCGGCGGAACCCGCCGCGGAGGTGAAGGCGTCTAAGCCGGCGGTGAACCCGTTCGGGGAGGCGAAGCCGCGGGAGGTTGCGCTGGAGGAGCGCGGAATGGATTGGCGGAAGATGGATCTGGAACTGGAGCATAAGGGCGTTGACAGGTGCGTGTTACCGAGGAATTTTTTAACGCGTACGAAATATGAGCCTGAATACAATGGGGTTTTGAGATGTGTAACAATGGTGTTCAAACAAGAAGTGCGATAACGCTTTCGAGATTGCGGTCTCTGCCGTCGGATCTGATGGGAAGAAGCATCAAGGGCGAGCCTTCATTTCGTTTGACGCCTAGAGCAGTGCCTAGAGCAGTGAGATTGGATTCACAGACACTGATAGGTTACGGTTAGCTCGGTCTTATGACTGCGGATATGCGGTTTAGGAGCTTCGTGGTTCCCACGAGGCTTTTCGTGAAGGACCTTGCCACGTAGATTCACGAGGACATTACTGTAAGGTTTGCAGTCGTATCGTCTCTCGGCGTGTTAAGATTCGATTTTCGGCGTGTCAATCTGGAGATCACTGGACAGCACTGTTGTCAGTTTCGATTCGCAACGCTGCCTTCGAGTCGACTCAACGGTCACCTCGTTTTCGAGTGGACTCGGTACAAAATCAGGAGATCACATCACAGCGCGTCGTTGTTTGGTTTTTGCGAAGTCAACGCAGTGTCGAGGGACTCGACATGCGAAGCAGAATGTGCTTTGCGAGGGTTCAGGGCTTTCCGGTCTTTTCCGCGAGCCTGTGCTTTAATTGGAGAGCGCAGAGTGGGTCTGCTTGTGTCGGGATGACGGTGAATGTCTTACGGTGACTGGACACCGCATAACGGAGTGCCTAGAAGCCTATGGTCTCGTTCCCTCCTCCCCTCCCTCCCTGACTCCCTCCCCCTCTCCCCTCACTACCCTTCCTCAAAAGTACTCACCCCCCTCGTCGCCCCTTTCTGCATTTGGCGGTACTCTTGTCTGCCTTTTTGCAGACCCGAGACGGAAGAACTGACTTCTGAGTCGACTCTAAAGTCAGCCCTTACCCTCTCCCCTCACTACCCTTCCTCCCCTCACCCCCCTCGTCGCCCCTTTCTGCATTTGGGGGTAATTTCTCTGCCTTTTTGCAGACCCGAGACGGAAGAAGAGAAGAAGCTGCGCGAGGAGGTGGACGCGCTTGCCGCGAAGCTTCAAGTCGCCACGGGCAAAGGGGGAGCCAAGGCGGAGAAGGCGGGTGAGGGGACGGGGGAAGAGGGGACCAAGACAGAGGATGACACAAGCGCGGCGGCACCTGAGCTTTCACCTGAGGAAGTTTCGGCCTTGGAGAAGGAAGTTGCGGAGAAGCGGCGGCAGCTGGAACAGCTGGTGCTAGAGCTGGACGCGAAGGTCAAGTACGCGCAGAAGCAGGCGAGAGAGAAGCAGGCTAAGGAGGGTGGCGCAGGAACAGACGGGGCTGTAAGAGAAGGAGGATGCGGGGGAGGAGCAGGAGGAGAGGGGGTTGCTGCTGCTGCTGGTGCTGGTGCTGGTGGTGCGCCGTTGGCGAATGGCAATGCGTGGGGCGGGGGCGCGAGGAGAGGCGGGGACGCGTGGCGGAGCAACACGGTTGCGAGCGGGGAGGGTGTGGCGGCGGGCAAGGGGGACGCGTGGCGCGGCGGCAGCAGGAGCACTGCGGGGCCGGGCAGGGACGCGGGGGAGGCGCAAGGCAGGCCGGCGCAGCGGACGGGCGGGTGGTAGGGCGGAGGGGCGGATGGTGCGGGGGACGGGGATGGAGAGGAAGATGGCGGGGAGGACGAGATTTACAGGGTTGACAGAGGACGGTGTGACAGAGTGGTTTGCAGGTGGGGCGGGTGGCAGAGTGGTGCAGAGGACAGGCGTCTGTGAACCCACCACAGGCCTGCAGAGGACGGGTGATGGATGGGCTTGTGATGGACTCAGCCAAGCCATGAATCAGGTCGGCGCAAAGGGTTGGCGGGTGGTAGGGCAGGGCGAGGGGGGAGGTGAGAGGTGGATGACTGCTGGGGCACTGGTGGGCGAAGGTGGAGTGGTGGCTGTGGGGTGGTGTCTTTGTCAAGTGGTAGAGGGGAGGTGGCGGAAGAGGTTGGAGAGAGGAGGGCATAGAGAGGAGGGAGGAAGGGGAGGAAGGGGAGGAAGGGAGGCGGGTGAAGAGAGGAGGGAGGAAGGGGAGGAAGGGAGGCGGGTGAAGAGAGGAGGGTGGAGAGACGGGGATGGTGGGTGGCTGGAGGAGGAGGCGAGGGGCTGTGGAGTGATCGTCCCTGTGCCTACGTTTTGGATTTTGAAAGACTGCGGCTTAGCCTGAGGATGAGTTGCTCGAGGATGGGTCACTCGCTCCTTGCCCAGGCTGCTGCGGCTGCTGCTGCTGCTGCTGCTTTATGGCTTTGGGGTATCAGGTTCAGGTTCCTTTCTACTGTTTCCGTTTTGCTCCCACAGACAGGTGACTGTCTGGCTTGATACTGCAAAGCTCGTTTTTGGGCCACATTAGTGTACCTCCTCATTGGTTTATACAATGCTTAAGTTTCCTTTTCCTTTGTTTTCTTTAGTCACAAGTGGCCCATGTGTCAGCGTTGAGTGAAGACATCTATTTCCCACTTTCAACCTACAGATTGTACATCTGTCACATCTCACTGACTCATTGGATTACATAAAGAGGAAAATGCAAGAATGCTAATTCACAGGCTTTTCCAATGGTCTTCATCATATGATAGTGAACCGAGCTTGCTGTGCGAAAGTATGTACAAGACCCTTTCCATCGACTAAAAAGGGCTCTGCATTTCTGCAGTAAAATGTCAGTGGTCAATGGCACGCAAATGCTGCCTTTGAGTGTGTTTGCTGTCACATCAACAGTATATACTTTAATTGCATCACATACTTTGCTCCTCCTGTTGCTGCTGCTGCTGCTGTTGCTGTTGTTGCTGCTGTTGGTGGTGGTGGTGGTGCTTATAATGAAGCATGTGGCACGGCGCAGACTCGTTATCGTACTGTACAGGCACTGTAGACACCTCTTTGACACGCAGGGAAAATATATCCGGCCGTGCGTAGTGCCCCGTGACATCAAAGTCAAACTTGGCCCGTACAATGTCACCCATGTCTGGTGGTGGGGCGGGGGTAGGGTAGGGGGGGGAGGCGGAGGAGATGTGAGATCTGATTCGACTCAAAACCCGCAGTGCGTAGTGCCCTGTGACATCAAAGACAAACTTGGCTCGTATGATGTCACCCATGTTTGGTGGGGGGCGGTGGGGACTGGGGCAAGTGGATGATTAGAAACGGGTATTGATACGGCACGTCGTGAATAATTAAAATACCAATAAAGCTTTGAAAAAAACGGAACAAAACAACAACTCGGTTTACCGAGATCAGCGGTCAGCAGTGCCTGCCCGTCATAGTTTGGGCCGGCCAGCACCCGGCCTAGCGGAGACACAATCACACTGCCGCCCCGACACACCACGGCGGACGGCGGCGGCTCGTCTGTATCCAGCCGCCCGGACGCGGAAAAGACGAAATCCGGGGGCGGAGGGTAGTCGGAGCGCACGCAGAACTGGTTGGCAGAGAGGACGAAGCAGCCGCCCTCGAGCGCTATGTGCTGCACCGTGGCCTGCCAGGAGTCCCGCGAGTCTGCCGTGGGGGCACAGTAAAGCTCCACTCCTGCAGGGGAGGGGATGAAGTGAAACAAGTGGAAGGATGGGGAGGGAGGGAGGGAGGAGGCATGAGGTGCACGGTGGCTTGCCAGACGTCCCGAGAGTCTGCCGTGGGGCCACAATAGAGCTCCACTCCTGCAGGGGATGGAAAACACGGAGGAGTGAAACATGGGGAAGGGTGGAGAGGGATGGGTGGGGAGGCACGTGCTACACCGTGGCCTGCCAGGAGTCCCGAGAGTCTGCTGTTGGCGCGCAGTAGAGCTCCACTCCTGCAGGGGAGGGGATGAAGTGAAACAAGTGGAAGGATGGGGAGGGAGGGAGGAGGTATGTGCTGCACCGTGGCCTGCCAGGAGTCCCGCGATTCTGCTGTTGGCGCGCAGTAGAGCTCCACTCCTGCAGGGGAGGGGATGGGAGCGATGAGGCAGGGGTGAAACACAGGGACGAATTGTGGGAGAGGAGGCATGGGACGTGGAGAGGAGAGGGAGCGAGGAGGCATATTGTGCACGGTGGTGGCCTGCCAGGAGTCGCGAGAGTGTGCTGTGGGCGCACAGTAGAGCTCCACTCCTGAGGGGGATGGAGTGAAACAAGGGGAAGGAGAATGAATGAGGGAGAGAGTACTGGGAGGTGGAGAGATAAGGAGGAGGTATGCACTGCACTGTGGGCTGTGGGGGGCTGTACGCTGTGGGTTGTGGGTTGTGGGCTGTGGGCTGTGGGTTGTGGGTTGTGGGCTGTGGGCTGTGGGTTGTGGGTTGTGGGCTGTATCAGCAACAAAGATTTCACCTCCCTCAATCTCACCTCTCTCAGTCTCACCTCCTCCAGTCCCACCTCCCCCAATCTCACCTTTCCCATACAGCGCCATGCGCACCATGGGCATGCGATTCTCCCAGCACACTGCAGCGCCCACCCTGTGAGTCAAATCAAACCTCATGGCTTCTGATGGGTTACTCACTTGGACCCAGCATCACCTTTCCCAGTCCCAAGACTCACCTTTCCCATACAGCGCCATGCGAACCATGGGCATGCGATTCTCCCAGCACACTGCAGCGCCCACTCGCCCCACCCCCCCCCCATCCACCACCGTTGCTGCCGTGCTGCCGTCGCCACACCCCCATATCACGCGCTCCAAAGCAGTCGGCACTGTCTTCCTGTGCCGCCCGACCAGCCCCAGGCGCGGGTCGATGAACAGTACGGAGCAGTAGAGTGTGCCACCCGCCCGCTCGATTGCCCCCATGACTACGAAGACGCTGAACTTGGCTGCTGCTGCTGTGAGACGCGCCACCTCGGGACCTGAAAGGGGTTGTGGGGAAAGGGGAGGGGAGGGGAGGGGAGGGGAGGGGAGGGGAGGGGAGGGGAGAGGAGTGGAAGGCAAATGAAGCTGGGTGTTTGAAACAACAGTAGAGCGTGCCGCCCGCCCGCTCAATCGCCCCCATGACGACGAATACTCCGAACTTGGCCGCTGCTGCTGCGAGGCGCGCCACCTCGGGACCTGGGGTATGGTGGGGGAGGAGAGGAGGAATTTTGGGTTGACTCAAAAATCACCTCGATTGTCCTCCAAACTTGGCTGCTGCTGCTGTCAGGCACGCCACCTCGGGACCTGGGTGGGGGATGGTGGGGGGGGGTCGGATGGTGGGGAAAGGAGAGGATGCGAGGGGAGGTGAGGTATGATGCTTGGCGATTGCCCCCATGACGACGAATACTCCGAGCTTGGCTGCTGCTGCTGTCAGGCGCGCCACCTTGGGACCTGGGTGAGTGTGGGGGAGGAGAGGAGGGAAGAGTTGAGGACAAAAAGCACCAGTGGCGCATCAATGGCAGCTACAAATCCTGAGCGTCAACTCACTGTGCCATCGGCCTTCCGTTTGTTTTCTAATTCTCAAAAAACTGATCCCCACTCCCACCTCCACCTTCCCGCCCGCTTTCCCCTCCCACCCTCCATCCCCCCCCCTCCCCTTCCTCCCTTCCCCCCTCCCCCCTCCCCCCCTGCGCCCTCCCCCCTCCCCCCTGCCCCCTTCCCCCGCCTTCCCTCACTCTCCACCCACCCGGCACATCAATGGCGGAGGCGTGGTAGCGTCTGAACTCGTCCTGCCCTCGGTCCGTGCGCGACCCCACCAGCACTCTAACACGGCTTCTGACGCACCTTGATAAATCACCACGTCCCCATTTCCGTTGCCCCATGCACCCCTCACCACCCACCCGGCACATCGATGGCGGAGGCGTGGTAGCGTCGAAACTCGTCTCGCCCTCGGTCCGTGCGCAACCTTACAAGCACCTTCATAACCACGCCCACGCCCCACATTCCCACGTCCACCCCTCTCCACCCACCCGGCACATCAATGGCGGAGGCGTGGTAGCGTCGGAACTCGTCGCGCCCTCGGTCCGTGCGCGACCCCACCAGCACTCCGAAGCTGGCGCCCCTGGGGTAGCCGCCTATGAACGCCTCTGGGAACACCACCAGCTGACTACCCAGCTGCGCCGCTTCCGCCAACAGTCGCTCGGCTGGGAGAAGGAGGGAGAAGAAAGACGCATGTATCACTGAGCACACCATGGGGGATACGCCAGCATTCCGCAATGTAGCCTGGAAACGCACGTTACTCTTTACAAATAAAGTAGAAAAATAAAACATGGCATTCATCCAGCGTGGCAGTAATCACCTTTGTCCAGCGTGGCAGTAATCACCTTTGTCCAGCGTGGCAGGCGTGTTGTACATCACTGTGGCCGCCTGCACCACCGTCGCTCGCACCTGCCGCGACGGCGTCTCCCCCTCCATTGTCACCTCCTGCGTTTGCACCTGCAGCTCCTGTGCGCTCTCCGACGCGTCCATCCCTCGATATTGGCACAAACGGAGAGTTTCGACGGTCCTCGCGGAATAACGGATTCAATGAATTACACAAAGAATCTTGCGCAATTTCCGGCTAATGCGACCAGCTTTCGGTCAGAGGGACATGTGTTAAAACCCACAACTCGTTCTTAGACAAGACTAATGAAAAATCGTTTGTTCATGGTACAGGCATCGGAAGCAGTCAACAAAGCCGTTCTTCACTAGCGAGGAACTGCCAACTTGGAACTGAAATTCAGGAACAATTGTGGCAAAGAAATTAGTGCGTCTCGTGGGATGTTCAACTTTTTGTACGCGTTAGTGAACAGTATTCAATACGAACTTAGTGTAAACATTCCAAGAAACCACTGGTGGCCCAACTGTTACAGACCTACCTAAGTTATCACAAGCTTCGAAATTATATTTATATTTGACAAAAATACCGTAGGTTTTGAGATAGCAGAATCACTCAAGATGCTCCATTAAGAGCATCCATGAGATAAAGCTTGCTAAGAGCCGGGCCGCTAAACCTGCAAACAGCAAAAAAATAAGAAAACAGGCAATGAAAAAATGCATTCATATACCGGTAGCTGTGAGACTGAGTATCAGGAGCTAAGTGTGGTCAATAATTTCCACAGAAAAGTATACATGCTACCATAGTTGTATACAACTATACAAAGAGAAAACGTGCTTACTCGTTGATCTGCGCGCAGTAGTTGGCGATCTGGTTGGTGGTGAGCAGCATGTCAATGCGCGAGGGCTCCGGGATGGGCTTGAAGATGGGGTTGGTGGGATCCTCCTCTGGTAGCGGCTCCTCCCCTGCTGCCCTCCTCAGTGCATTGTCCGATCTGCCAAAGCAGTGAGTGAGTGGGTAGTGAGTGGGAGCGGGAGTGGGTGAGCATGTGTATGTGTGTTTCAGTGGGTCAGGGATGGGCTTGAAGATGGGGTTGGTGGGATCCTCCTCTGGTAGCGGCTCCTCTCCTGCTACCCTCCTCAATGCATTGTACGATCTGCCAAAGAGCGAGGGAGTGAGGGAGTGTGAGAGGGAGTGGGAATGCATGCACAAGTGGGTCAAGGGATGGGCCTCCTCTGGTAACGGCTCCTCCCCTGCTGCCCTCCTCAGCGCATTGTCCGATCTGCCAAAACCATGGGAATGCATAGAGAGCGTGTGAGTGAGTAAGAGGTGACTTTAGAGTCGACTCAAAAGTCAACTCGCATTGTCGGATCTGCCAAAACCATGGGAATGCATATATAGCGTGTGAGAGAGTAAGAGTGGGCAGATGTGAGAACATGAGTACATGAGTACGCGTGTGCGTGTCTCAGGGGGTTCAGAAAAGGAAGTGCAAGTCATTCTGCTGTCTCAGGAAGCCCTCCTTGAGGACAGACATTCCCAATCACACCACACCTGTATGGGGACAAATAGCAAATGCAAACAAACAAGCACGCCCCAACAACCCCCCTGCCCTGCACCCACCTTCTCTTCTGCACCCATGCTAGCTGCTGCTGCTGCTGGCGCTGCACACTGCGATAGTGGTACTGGAACTGCAGGGGGGCAGCATGGGGCCAGGGACACGCACAGAGAGGCGGGGGAAAAGAGGAAACTTTTCAGAATTCACAAAAGTGTTGCTGCTGGCGCTGCACACTGCGGTAGTGGTACTGGAACTGCAGGGGCGAGAGGGACACACGGAGAGTGGGGAGAAGAGGAGGCGGGGATGGGGAAAGAACAGGAGGAAGGGGGGTTGGACGGAAACGAGGCGAGTCTGTGAGAAGTCAAGGGAAGCGAACTGGAAACCTCCATGTTTATCTCCTAATCGCATGGAAAAGCTGGAACTCAAATGTCCGGAAAGCGAGGTGACTTTTGAGTCGACTCAAAAAACAATTCGCATGGGAAGAATTGTAACTCAGGAGGGGAGGGGAGGGTAAGAGGGTAAATGAAAGCAGAAACGGGGGTACATGGCGCGGCAGGCAAGAGGGAGCCTCATGGTACGAAACGAGGGGAAGTACCCGTTGCTGCTCCGCACGCAGATCATCCATGCAGTCAGAGAGGCACCCCAGGTTGGTCTCAAGGAAGGGGTTGGTGCCCAGCAGCAGGCGGTCAAAGTGAGCCTCGTGTTGCCACTGCCAGGCCCGCATACAACAAGCGCTCTAATGCGACTAGCCCTACCCTCCCACTCACCCGCTGCTGCTCCGCACTCAGATCATCCATGCAGTCAGAGAGGCACCCCAGGTTGGTCTCGAGGAAGGGGTTGGTGCCCAGCAGCAGGCGGTCAAAGTCGGTGCGCGAGGGAGCAGCGTCGGCAGCGGGGGGGTGCAGGGAGGCGATGAGCGTGGAGACGAGCATGGAGTTGGCCATTTTCACTGGGATCTCCTCAAATATCCCCGCCCACGATGTGTCACTCTCCCTCAACCTGGCAAAGAGAGAGTGAGAGAGGAGGGAACAGCAGCAGAGTCGGCAACAGCAGCAGCAGCAGTGGCGGCAGCAAGCACCAAGGGGGTGCATGAATGTGGACACTGGCAGAAACGGTGCCTTCGTGACTTTTGAGGCGACTCAAGGTGACTATTGAGTCGACTCAAGGAGACTATTGAGTCGACTCAAGGTGACTACTGAGTCGACTCAAGGTGACTATTGAGTCGACTCAAGGTGACTATTGAGTCGACTCAAGGTGACTATTGAGTCGACTCAAGGTGACTATTGAGTCGACTCAAAAGGCAGCAGTGGCGGCAGCAAGCACCAAGGGGGTGCAGGAATTTGGACACTGGCAGAAACGGTGCCTTGGGGGAATGATTGTCTGAAGCAACCTGTGATACACCCGTACCGTACCCGAGTGAATACCTTGTGATAAGATTTCACCGGTCTGCTGCCAGACTTGCTCCTCCTCCTGCATCTGTCCTTCTCCCTCCCAACACGCCCTCCATCACACCCCCCACAAACAACCCTTTTCTTCCCCCTCTCACTTCTCCCCCGTGAGCGCGCCCGCTTTGAACATCTCAAGGAAGGGCGCCTACTCACTTGTCCCCCGCCCACTCCTACCACCACCACCCGCCCTCCCCCCCAAACCACACACTCACTTCTCCCCCGTCAGCGCGCCCGCTTTGAACATCTCGAGGAACGGCGCCTTGAGAGTGAGCGCCTTGAGCGCCACAGTCCCGCGGACGGCCGCCCGGTCGGCGTCGTACACGAGGCACACGCAGCGCTTGATGTTCTCCCGGTAGCTCGCGAACGTCTCTATCATGTCCGCCGTCTGGAAGGAACCCAGCGTTGTCGACTGGTACCTGTTGGGGGGAAGGGGAGGGTGGCGCAGGTCACGGGAGGAAAGGTGGGACACGGGGGAGGAGGGGGTTCAGTTCAGGTCACGGAAGAAACGCTGCTGGCGAACGTGTCTATCATGTCCGCCGCCTGGAACGAACCCAGCGTCGTCGACTGGTACCTGCGGGGGAGGGGAGAGAGGGGGGGGGGGGGGGGGGGGGGGGGGGAGGAGGTGAGGAGCATGGGGGAGGGGACGGGGAGAAACGGGGGAATGCGGGAAGATGGGAGAAAAGAAGCAAGAACTGAGAGAGGGGCGGGGGGGAGTGAAGAGAAAGCAGAGGGAGGAGAAGAGGGGCTGGGTTGAACACCGCACTTGATCGCACTACACCACACCCAAGAGCATATGAAATCCGACCATCATACCATCCGACGGTGTTGTTGTCAACTTTGATCTTGCGCAGGCAGCGCATCATCTCCAGCTGATACATGGCACTTGTGGGGCATACGCACCCCAGGTAGAACATACGACCTACCAGCCAACGGTGTTGTTGTCGACATTGACCTCGCGCAGGCAGCGCATCATCTCCAGCTGATACATGGCACCGTCCGCCTCCTCCTCCTCCTCCTCCTCGCCTCCCCGGCTCTGCGAGTGCGGAACACGCGACACCATGCCACACCCCATGCCATACCATATGTCATGCCATACATCATGCCGCGTAACACCATGCATCGTGGCACGTATCATGCCGTCCATGAGGCCATGCGGAATGCCGTGCATGTTGCCATGTGCCATGGCGCACACGGCCTCACACATATGCATCACACGCACGCCGGCACCAATCCCATTTCCCAAACACACACCCAAAATGAGAACACACGCGCACACGCATAGCTCAAGCGCGCGACTGAAAACAACAACACATCGCGATTCCGCGGCGAAGCATCTGCAATCCAAGGGCCAGACGCCCATCCCAGGCCAAATTCTCCCCTTACAGACTTCCAAGCATAAAGAAAAACTGTAAATGTGACAGACTCCCCTGACCTTTTGCGCACAGCGGAGCAATGGAAGCAAGAAGGGTGCAAAAAAAGAGGTAAGGGATGAAGATCACTCACGGGAAAGGGAAAGCAATTGGTGACTTCAAGAGTGCTGCCAATATCGAGACCAAGCAGCAGACCCGTTACAAGCTGAGGAGCCCAGTCGCTACAGTGCTTGTCAATCTTCATCGCAACCTAGAAATTCGTACCGAACGAAAAGGAAGAGAATAATAAACCATGCTAAAATCAGGGTTTAGGGCAGTCGGGGTAGTAGACTACGCGAGAACGGGGGCGGCCGAATCTAAGCCTAAGTGAGAGGCTTGAAGGAAATTAAGGACGAAGTGGACGACGCTGCGACACTCACGAGGCCGTCGATCTGCACGGATCGCAGCGGTTGTGCGACCTCCTCTGTCGCAGCTGCTTGTGCAAAAGACCTGACCGGAGCTGCGAAATAGGTAACACAGAGATGCGTACTGGAAAATACTTATCGACAGCAATGGCTCGCACAGGGAAGTCTATCATTAGGGTAGTGAGTGCCTGATGATGTACGATGTTGCAGTGTATTGAGGTATAACGTGGATCGTCACTACCTGCTCCTTGTTCGGCCATGATTGCTCGTCTTTGATATGCCAACTCTTTGCTTTGATAAAATCTCCTAACTTCGGAAACTGACGTAGGAGAGCGGGGAGAAGGAATCGCTGGGGACAGCGGAGGGGACGGAGGAAGGTAGAAGTTGGAAACTAGTACGACGAATGATGAAGGGGACGACTGCGATATACGCATTATGAGCTGTTGGGTAGCGCTCACAGAGCTGCTCTCTGGTCAACAAAAACAGAGAATCGGAGCTGGCTACTACAGCGTTACCAGAACCATTCCAGGATTTGAAGCAAAATATGCTCATTTGAAGCACCAGTTATTTGTGGTAAACAATGATTTAAATTCATATAAATTATCAAACCTATCATGAGGCGCACATCAGAAAGAAAAATACACAGAAAATTCAAATCTCATCTTGCGAGGCTGAAAATGTCTATATCACGTATACTCTATTCGAGGAGCTTGTACCCTGTCTTGACTTAGCTCCCATGCCTAATAACGGGACAGCAGCCATTACAGTTCAGTACCTTGTGAACCAATAGCGTCGTTGAAAATCTAGGTTGGCAGATATTCAATATGTGGTTATGAGAGAATCTCTTCTCATCCAGCTCTTGAAGTACGAGACAAAACTTGGCTGCCTCACGATGACATATTGCATTTCCTTCAGCTGCCCTATCTGACCCCTGACATATTTAGTGCAGACGACAGTTCATAAAAATCATTGAAAATATGCGTGGAGCCGATTTCTACAGTCTGAACATGTGCGGTACCAAAATAACGTTAAGAAACACTAACTCCTTTCAGAAAGAAAGGTCATCAATATATCACGTGGAAGCGAAAGTGGAGCCTGGGCAGGGCACGCTTTAGCTGACATCATCTCTAACATAACCGAAATCGCATCGCATCAATTCACACGTTCCGCGTCGCATTCGTGAGGGACCTCGAGGAAACAAACACACATTGACATTCGCCCCATTTGTCTCGCCGCCATCCGCGCGCCATTGCGCCAACAACGATCATTGCTGCTGTGACGTGCTCCTTTTCTGTGCTGGAAATGAAACAGCCGAAAGCAACGCCAACGAAAGGCAACAACAGGCTAGGGGCTGCTTCTGGTGGCGCGTCAAGTCGACAGCTTCATCCTATCCACCTCACATCCTGCTTTGTCTCCTCTCCTTGCAATGCCCGCTCGCTCGTGCTGTCGCCTGCATTGCATTTCCTTCCTCCCCTCCTTCCTGCATTTCTCCCTTCGATCCCGTCTGGGCCTAGGTCGCGATTTCATGAGTCCCGAACCACACACACTCATCCTTCAGGAGAAGTTGAACGACAGGCGTCACCCACACAGACGCGTCCATATCACACCTGGCTCGCCGTTGAGTTGAGACCACAGGGCGTGTATCTTCCTGCTTGGAAACGCCATCTTTCGAAGAGATCCGCCGATTTAAACTCCGCCGTCGTTTAATAACCTGTCGCCTCCTAACGCAGCGGACATGTCGCAGCGCGCAGCGAAGCCCAACCATGACTCACCTCCAGTGATCAAGCATTTCGGCGCTACCAAACCCGCGAAGAGCCTGTCGTCCGTGCTAACCCTATCGTGCAAACCTCCGTTACAAGATCACCCACCGAATCCTCCGCCGAACCGCGGCGCGCACCCAGAATGCCGCAAGTCGTCGGGCCAGCAGAGGTTCCTGCATTGTCTGGAGGAGATTAAAGAGGCCGAAACCAACCGCACCGCGTTTCCTACCAGACTATCTGTCCCATCATGGTCCCCAACGGCCGTGGATCATCATGGTCCGGCGATGAACCCGTCGCCAAGCGATGGTAACGGTCGCTCATCGTCGTCGTCACTGTCGCCTGCGGCTGAGTTGTCGCCATCCTTGCGAAGCTCCCCGCCCTTCCATGGCTGCTCGACGGCTACGCGATCTCCGCCGTCGACCACCCAATACGACAGTCTATTAGGGTACCACAGCTACGCAGCCGGTAACGTTGATGCTGGCGTGACGTCGCCATCAACAAGAAACGGTGATGCCGAAGCGGCGTCACATTTCCGTCGCCATGCAACGTCGCCCGCTTCAGCGTCGCCTGGCAACTCTCAGCCGCAGGTGCCTGAATCCGAGTCCTACTACCCGTACCCGGCGCCGGCGCCGCCTGCTTCGCTCTCTCCGTCATTCTCGCTACCCACCTACTCGTCCTACACCGCGTCGCACGCTTCCTCGTCTCTCTGCGACCCCACCGCGCTCTCCGCGCCGCTCGCTTCGAGGTCGCCTTCCGCGTCCTCCGCCACCTCCTTCCCGTCGTCGTCGTCGCCGCGACGACATCCTTCCGCGTCGTCCTCGTCGGAAGCAGAGGATCTCGGCCCCTCCGCGTGCCCTTTCCAAGCCAGCTTACTCTCCGCCTACGCGCCCTTCTCCGCGACGGTCAACGGAACGGTCAACGCGGGGGTCAACGGATCGGTCAACGCGGCGGTCAACGCAGTGTCGCCGCTCGCATCCTTTCCCGCTCGCCCCGCTAAAGCGCCGTTGGAGAGAACGAGTTCGGGGCCCAGCGGGCTGCGGGGGGGGCACGGCGCGGGCGGAAGCGGCGGGTCTTTCCCTGGGATGGCGGAAGCGGGCGCGGGGATCTGTATCCGCGAGCTGCTGTCGACAATTGTTACTGCGCACGACATTTTCGCACGCGACATGGTGAGTCGCACCGATCCAAGCCTAGACGCCCCTACAGGGACCCAACACATGGTGTGTGCTGCGATACGCGGAGAACGGGCGGACTCTCACCCTCTTCCCCCTCTTCCCCCAACCTTTTCCCCCCCTCCCCCCCTCTCCCTCTCCCCCCCCACGTCCCCCTCCCCCTTCGCAGTCCCCGAACGGCCATCAGGTAGCAGACTACCTATTGTCGCAGCTGCTGCACCTCACTCGCTCCTCCGCTGGCTGCATCTCCAGCGCCCTCCGCCGCCCCCGCGCCCGCAGCAGCACCAGCAAAAACAGCAACAGCAGCAGCGGCGGCGGCGGTGGCAGCAGAGAGGACGAGGAGTCGCTGTTTCTTCGGACGCACAGCATCACCAACTTCGCGTGGACGCCGTATCTCAAGGCGTGGTACGCGGACAACGCGGCCTCGGGATTGGTGTTTGGCAACATGAACACGCTCATGGGCAAGGTGGTTACCACCGCTGACGTCATTATGAGCAATGACGTGGCGTCGGATCCGCGGTCGAGGGGAGTGCCGCCCGGGCACCCGCCGATGACGACATTCCTTGGCGTGCCGCTGTTCTCAGGCTCTCGTCTTGTCGGCATGTTCGCAGTGACCAATCGCGAGGGCGGCTACAGCAAGGCTCTAGTCACAGAGCTGCACGTGCTAACCAAGACAGTGGGGCAGGTTGTAGCGGGGATACAGCAGCGGAGGCAGCGGTGGGAGCGTGAGGAGCGGTTGAACGCGGTGCTGGAGGGTACCTGCCAAGCAGTGCTGTCTGTAGCGCCCTCCGGCCGTCTTTCCTGCATCAACCGCTCTGCTCGAAGCCTCTTTCGGGTTTCGGATGAGGCCATGGCTCCTCGCCCCTCCAATTTGGGAGCAGCAGCGGGGACTGGAGCAATGACGTCCGTTAGTCAACCGCTTGCGAGCCTGTGCGAATCCGAGTTGGCACTATCAGAGCTAATTGAGACCATCGATGGGGAAACAGACTTCATGCGACAGGATGTGCTGCAGAGATATGCAGAATCTGGAGATGCCTTTCCTGCTGTAGGGCTGCGTCAGGAAGGCAGATCCAGGCATAGCGATAGTATCTCCCAAGGTCACATGACTCATGACACGTCAGCAGCAGGTGTCAGAATGAACCTTCGTGTGGCAGTGACACGTAGCGAGACGTCACAGGTGGCATTCGTGCTGACGGTGCAACTAGCAGAAGAACAAGAAGCAGCAACTAGAGGTGTCCACACGCAGTCTCAGACTGAATATTATAAGACCTACCACCATACAGCTTGTGGGCGTGCAGAAGGGAGTTGGAGAGGAGAAGCAGCAGACAGGGTTGGGGGTGGGGACGGGGAGGGCGAGGAGGATGGGCATGAGTGTCAGCTCCTCATGTCAGACGAAGACGGGACGCTCACCATCGTGGTGTGAGTGAGTGCTCCGCTCGCAGCACAGGCGCTCACAACTGTGTATCGCTTGGTGAGTCTTAGGGTTGTCTTGAAGTTACTGGTATTCAAGGTGGTGTGTGATAGCAGCAGCAGGGCCAGCCGTGTCGGATAGGGTGGCCTGGTTGGGTTGGATAAGTGCAAAAGCAGCAGCTCTCAGCCAGATCTGTCCAGATTAGCTCTATTAGCTTCTTGTACTTCCAGTCACACCGAGTGACGATGCCATGCCATGAATGTTTGTCATGCTCCTAGTAGATCACTAACACCTTGAGCTTAGCTCAATGCAACGAGGACTCGATTGCAACAGCAGCAACCACAAACGTCAAGTACATACAAATCAGGCAGACACCCCAGGTCCTAGTTACCCTAAACCCAGACCACACCACAAAGGCAATGGACGAAAGCACTCCTCCCAGCAGAAAACACAGGGCCAGCAGCACATTAGGGTGGTGATACAACACCAACGGCTCAGGGTACAAGTCCCAGCTACGGACAGCCAACGCCGACCCAACCCCGACCATGAGATTAAACATCGGGCCAGCAAAACACCCGGCAATCGCCATTGTCGGATGCCCAGCCTTCGCTATAGTCACATCCGCTACAAGATCGCCCACGGAGTTCCCCCAGGCGAGCACAGTAATCCCAAGGATGGACGGCGACACGTGCAGGATAATCCCAAGGGCGGAGAGCAGGCCTAGCAGCTCAGAGGCAGTCAGAGCTATCCAGAAGACTGACATGGCAAAGGAAACGGGGACTATGAGGGACCGGGGTGCGCCTATGGGGCTTGAGGCACGGGTGGCGAGGAGATACGCTGCAGCGCAGAGGGAGCTTTGAATGAGCACGAACGAGCGGACGGCGAGGGAGGAGGTTGAGAGGGTGGAGGAGGAGGAGAAGAGGGAGGAGGCGGGGGAGGCGGAGGGGGAATGGGAGGAGAGGGAGGTGGAGGAGAAGGAGGAGGGGGGGTCGAGGGGCGGGAGGAAGAAGAGGAGGTTGGAGTCGGGGGGGAGGAGGGCGCGGGTGGTGTGGATGGCGATGAGAGGGCAGAGGACGACGTTGGCAGTGGCGTATCGGATGTCCCATGCAGAGGGGTCGATGGATGGGATGGTGGCCAGGCGCAGCGGGTCAAAGACGACGTGCAGGCACGCTCGCAGCTGGAAGGGTAGGGGGGGAAGAGAACAGAGGGGGAGAGGCACGGGGGGTCGATGGATGGGATGGTGGCAAGGCCCAGTGGGTCAAAGACGACGTGTAGGCACGCTCGCAGCTGGATAGGGAGGAAAAACGGGAGAGAGAGGCGCGGGGTTGGGGGAGGGAGGGGATACATCTGAAAGAGCATGTGCAGGCGTGCACGCAGCTGCAAGGGGAGTGGGGAGAGGGGAGAGACGCGCCGACGCGGGAAGGGAGGGGGTGGGGGAAGGAGGGGATACATCTGAAAGAGGGGTGGGGGGACGGAAAGGGGAGTATGGGGGGAGGCGAGAAAGAAGAGGGGGTGCTGGGGGTACAGCGAAATAGCAGGCAGTTTTAGAGTAAGAGATTAGAAGGGTGTTGGGGGTGGGGGGGAGAGGAAGAAAGACAATTGAGACCTGGGGTTACAAGTTGTGATGTGGGAAACCAGCTATATTTTACAATTTGCGTTGAGGTAAACACCTTTTCAAGCCAGGAGGTGAGGGTCCAGAGGGCCGGACGCCAGAATCGAGAGACATGCACAAGGACATGCTGAGGTGGCTTGTGAATGCCGTTGTGGTGGTGAGCGAGAGGCGAGGAGGATCGGAACAATGGCAGCAATGGCTGCTGCTGGGGTAGATGCTGCACATTCTGCTGCTGATGCTGATGCTGATGCTGATGCTGATGCTGATGCTGATGCTGATGCGGAGGCTCATCATCCGTGTCACCTCCCGGCTGTTGCACCAAATGACTCTTGTATCGCGTCACAGGGGTGTCATGTGTGATGGCAGTGCTTTTCTGATCCTCCATGGGCGAATGGGCATGACCACGGGCGTGACCATGGGAATGTGGATGGGGTGGGTCTGGCGGCTCCCATGCATTGGACACTATAGCCACGGCAACGAAGCAGATATAAAAGGCTACAAGGCCAACTGCCTGCCAGAGGTACACGTGGCCTGAGAGGTATATGAGGAGCAGTAGCAGCACGCCTGTTGCAAAGAGGCACGAGTCACGCAGGAACGGGCGCGGTCGCACGGGGAAGGGAGCAGCTGTGACTGCCACGCAGCCCACCACGAAACACGTGACGAATGCGCCTGCACTGGAAGCGGGGACGATGGGAAAGGAACGAACTTGAATTCAGAAAGAAACATCCACCGATTGCACTCGACATCTAATCTTGAAGCATACAAAGCCAATGCTATCACTGTCTCATCCCATGCCGCTTTATTACCAAACGACTTGATACTATCTTAATGCGATAATACAACGAACATTCTCTCGCCCACGATGAAGACTACCTTGCACACGCACCTGACAACTGCTCCCAGCCCCACTTTCGGGTTCCCCCCAACGATCGCCGCTAGAGATGAGAACACATCAGGCGCTCCGTTCCCAAGCGCCAATAGCGTCACGCCAGCTGTGCTGGGCGAGAGGCCGAGCATGGCGGACATTGTCTCCACAGTTGGACAGAAGAAGCGGTCAGCTGTGTCAGCGAGTAGAAAAAGAGCCGAAAGTAACCCTAGGAGGAGTAGAGGGAGTGAGATCCAGGAGCGTGCACGGAGGATACAATAGTGAAGGTCGATGTAGTTGATTAAAGACTTGGAGCCTGCTGATGTACAGTACTGTCTGACAAACTCGCATTTAGCTGCTGACGTGGTGCTTCTCGGCAAAAGATGCACGGACGCGCACATACGGGCATCCGACGTGTCACCATTGCTACAGCCAGTGCAGTTCTTAGTGGTATTTAAGGATGTATGCTCGAAGCGCTCGTGCTGCTGCGGAGGGTTCGAAGTAAGGCGACGTTGATTCGAATCGACGCCTTCTGCTTGAGCCAGGCGTATGACGGAACGGTCGTTCGTAACGGAATCTCCTGTCGAGTTTCCGTCGGGAAACCTGGAGCTTGAAGCTCCTGCTTCGACTACCAGCAAGGCAAAAAGAGCTATACACGCGCACCGCGTACCCATGACCATGGTTGCTACGAAGCCATTATAGGAAAGAGTGACAATACCGAAAGGAACCAGAGTGCTCGATCTGTTTCTCGCCGTCTAGTTAGTATGATAGGAGGAAGCCACAAGGGAGTGGCGCTGACATCACAAATTCGGCAGATAAGGAAACTTGTATTTGTAAATGCTTCATGTCCGCGATACAAACAGTATTGCAAATTCGGGTATGCCCAGCACTGAAAACGTCTATATTACAGCCACTGTACAATTCAACCCATGACAGCTGGCTTGTGTCCTCGTAATTTCATGCCTCTCCGAGCGGGTGAAATGGCGCCTCGGACGGAATTTGACGCAAGCCAGGGGTAAAAAAAAGCAGACGTCGTTCCACTCTTGTAACAATCGGCATTCTCGAGAGCCGTCATGTCCAGCATTTCTCGCTCCTGTGCCGAATATGTTCTTCGTGATGTTCCATGTGATGTCCCTGGAAATGACGTCGTGACGGAGCCCCAGGGAATCAAATGGCATTTGTTCCAAGAATGTGTTGGTGCTTCACACCAGGCGATCCTGCCTCTTGTTGTCGAAGACATAGTGGATACTAGTAGTGCTGCAATGTCAGGCGTTGCTGGATTTGGTATGGCTTCCGAGCTCGCTGGAACGTTAGCGTCTCAGACACTTCAGGTCAGAAACTTGGAGATCACCCATTCTGTGCATAGAAAGCGTGGATAATTCAGCTTCAAGCTGTTCTTGCAGGAAAACGGACTCCCTCCGGGGTTATTGCCACTTCAACAGGTCGTGCAGAGCACAAACACGAGGACTGGGCCCTTTCACGTCAAACTTAGTCACAGCGTGGAAAGAAATATTCATGGAAACCTTGTCCGCTATTCTTCTGAAGTCAGAGGAACCATTTGTCGCGGAAAAATCACAAATCTCAAGGCAAGATAGCTCTTCTTATTGTGCTTCGAATTCCGTTGTCACCTTTGACGTTGTCCCTCTTTTTCGTGCAGGGAGTTCACGTGAGAAGATTGATGTTGTGGCTGTCTGTTGATTCCATTGAAAGCAGGGAAGCCAGCCCCTCAGATATTCACTTCCGTGTAGGTCCAGTATCAGAAGGAATTCCTCGCTCGGCATTTAAGCTAGTAACTCAGTAAGCCAGGAAGAAGTTAACAGCTCTGTTCCTCGCAGCCAAGGGAAATACGAAAGCTTAGCATACCGTATGTGGCATGAGTAGTGGTGCAGAATATACTACGCTGCCGTTGGTTGTTTCCAATTGATGTTGAGCAGTACTGGTACCGTATTCTCCCGGACATAACACCCTAGGGTATAGCTAAAAATACAGGGAAAAAATGGGGGGGGTCTCCTCATAGGAAAAAAATACATAATACCCGGGTCTTTACATATGGCATATTTTAGTGTTAGTGTTTTTTTAATTAGTCAATGTGGGTGTTTTGCTAGTCGTTTTAGCATCACTGCCTGAGGCGCGAATGTGAGTTTCGGCCTCGAACTTCATCGCCCCCACGAAAATGGCATGTGGCACCTCTCTTGCCACTTGCAACGGAAAATTCACCTGCACGTGGCGACAGAGAAATAGTGGGAGGGGCAAATCTCGGCAGATTGCCTTTGAATGTACCGCGAAATTTCATCGAGGGAGAAATTCACACGATATTCTTCCGTATTGCAGCTACTCGTTAACGACTATAATAATGAATCCGTAAGAAAAGGGGGGTGTTATAGAAAATCAGCCAAAAAGGGGGGTACCGTATAGTAGAAACGAGGTCTATCATAACACCCACCCCGCACAAGCTACCCGGGGGTGTACAATTATGGGGGGGTGTTTTGTCCGGGAGTATACGGTACCACATTTCAGGTGGACACAGCAATTGAATGGGCCTGCTCAGTTCCTCATGCATGAAGAATTCTGGTGTTGACAGAAGGGGTTCAAAATATTATAATTTTTAAACACACATGTAGTGTTTTTTAAAATTGTGTATTGTGAAAGCGAAGCTGCTTGTACTGCACAATTGGCATCGTCGAAGCGCGCTAAACGCCCTTCTCCAACTACAAAAACCGTGGGTTGGAGCTCATTTCCCTCCACCCACGTTTCTCAATTTTCAAACGGCTCACTCAACATTTTCCGCTCGAGTAGTTTTTCCCTCCAAGCTGGCTAGGATTAAATCGCTTCCTAGAGGCGAGTCACCCTCTACTTTACTCAGCGACATTTTCAACTTCAATCGCTCAACGATGGCACCTACGCCGACACTTAACAACGGGAACTCGTCAACCCCCGCTTCCGACTCCGACCGTAACGCCCGCGATTCTGCGGGCGAACGCCGTAACAAGCGTCGGGCAGAAGACGGACCTTCCGCCCCGACTGCAGTGGACGTGCTGCTGGGCGGGCTCGAGGTCCACAAAAACGCCGAAACCCAGCAGCACCCTTCGGTCCCTGTGGCGCCAGTGGCGCCTGTGGCGCCAGTGGCGCCTGTGGCGCCAGTGGCACCTGTGGCGCAAGTGGCGACGGGGACTGGCGCGGCACACGCGACTGACGCCGAGCACACGCCAGCACCCGCTGCTGGACCGTCGCGTCAGCGTCAGAGGAGGCGGACTGCAGTCTCCTCGTCTGACGCGACCGCCGCCCCTGCGCTAACGCAGGCGTTGACCCCGGACCAGGTCAACGCGCTGCTGTCCCTTCTACAGCAGCAACCCGTCAGCGTTACAGCCGCGGAAACTGCACTACCCGCCGCATCTGCGTCGGCTAAAAAAGAAACTGCAAAAAAGGAGAAAGGCACACGGGGAGCACGGACGAACCGGCATGACAACGACGCAGCGACTGCCGCTCCCCCTGCTCCAGCGGTCGACAACGACACCGACGACTCTGAAGATGAAGCCGGTGAGGCTCCAGTCAACAATGTTAATTTTATTGGCACGGAAAACCTTCCCCCCCTCCCTTCTTCTAATCTTACCTTCTCGGCGGCAACCTTCGTCAACGACTCCGTGCGAGAGCAAGCGGAGCTACTGGAGGACCTGCGGGCGTACCTGCTGCACGCCGAATACAAGGCGCAGCGCGGTGATCCGGCGGGCGGACTCGAACTCATCTCACACGCTCTCAACCTCATCGCGGGGCGTTTCGAGGTGCTTCAAGTGGAGGACGCCTCCGACTTTCGCACGGCGAAGCGCTTTAAGCTGTACCAGCAGAAGAGCCTGCTGACTTCTCGACCCTTCAAGCAGGCGGTCGCGGACATGGCAGCGATGGACCGTGCGGCAAGCGGATACGCTCGTGTCAACCGCGGCGGAAACAACGGGCCGATGCCGTTCTTACCCAAGCGAGGCCCCCCGCCCACGGCCAATTGCCGTGGGTTCCGGGGCTCATGCTTCCGCTGCGGCCAGCCGGGCCACGTGGCAAGTGCCTGCCCTCGGAACGGGCATGGAGGCCAGGGACCCGCTCCGGTGGTGTAGGAGCGGGCCATGAGACTAGGCGCTTGGGCGCTAGGCACGGTGCACTCTTGAGTGCGAAAACCGTGGGCAACCCTAGGGGTTTGCGATGGCAAGAGGCCAGCCCTAGTAAAGGGTGGGGTAGGCTTGGGCCTAGGATAGGGAAGGGGAACAACAACCCCTCGGTCCCATATGTTGGCCACGTGGTGGCATGCTAGGAAAGCATTGCTATGTGTGTTGGTTGATTTAATAAAAACTACATTCCTAAAGGCCTATGGTTTTGGCAAAGAGAGAATGAGAGAAAGCACAATGGACAACGGTGTCCATGGCCCTAGGCATCAGCCCCTACGCACTAAGGGCAGGCACAACCATGTCCTACCAAGTGGACGACGGGGCAAGAAAAAAAAAAAAAAAAAAAAAAAAAAAAAAAAGGGGAAACGAGGAGAAGAAGAGACATGCGTTGACATGCGTTAATATTCCCGACACATTCGTTGACATTTCATTCAATTGTTCATTCTCTTCACACCTTCGATCAATAGTTGCCCGTACAAGTACATGCACACGTATGCTTTAACGTGGAATACTCAAAGCTTATACCACTTGGTCTCAAATGTACAGGAGCACGACGGTGCGAGGCGGGATGCCACGACGATCCGTACGAATTTGCCGTTACAGACAGAACTATTACACACATGCGCGGTCGTCTTCGCGCGACATTGGCGTGGTGGAGCTCATGGTGCCCCAGCAGCCTTGTCCTCTCCGTCATCGCCAAGGGTTACTGGTTGCCATGGAGCCACGGCCCACCGCAACATTTCCACGATCGCAATCATGTCGGGGCAAACACGCATGCCACGTTCACACGTACCGCCATCCAAGAACTCATAGAGACGGGAGCGGCAATTCCGATGGCCGCAACGGAGCTTACATGCATAAGTCCACTCAACGTGGTCGAGCAAAAAGACAAATGCAGGCTCATTCTTGATCTGAGGAAAGTCAACGCCAACTTGATCATCCCCAAGTTCAAGTACGAAGGGCTCAGCCGCGTCGCCGACCTTGCGCGCGTTGGGGACTGGATGTTCTCCATTGACCTCAAATCTGGTTACCACCACATCGACATCCACCCATCGTGCTGGAAGTTCCTTGGCTTTGAATTTGATAAGCGCACATACGCATTCCGTTCACTACCATTTGGCCTCGCGACAGCTCCATTCGTTTTCACGCAGCTCATCAAGCAACTAGCTCGGCGTTGGCGAGAACAAGGCATCCGAGTCGTACCTTACGTGGACGACATCTTATTTCTCTGCCAGTCGAAAGAGGACGCGCAAGCAAC